CAAAACGATTAGTTTTTAACTGCTATCAGTTTACTAAATATAATTACAATATTCAATTACGATACGAGTCCGTATAGTATTAACAGAGGATTGACTCATTTTCACTTCTTGTGTTAGCCGATACTATATTTACATTTACACATTTACGAACCACAGTAAATACTTGCACCCTATCTAAATTAATAAGAGTAAACAATTTAATGTTTTTGTTATTAAAAAAAAACATTAGTTACGTGTGTATATTACTAATGCATAGTTTAAAAGTACGTTCACCTTAATATTTATCAATTTTGCACAGTACTACTTTAAACATAATTTTTAAACACATAAAAAAGCAAATGTTTTTACACTCATAACTCCATTGCACAGTACATCTCAAAATATTTTTCTATCTCTACTTATTTCTGAATAAAGATTCTAAAACTCACATTATGTATAGTTTATACCTAGTTACATAGTTTTTATTGGTGCAATTGTAAACATATTTTATTTAATTTGTTTTATAAAACAATCCTCTTAAAACATTTATAAGTGCAACACAATGTTCCTTAATTATACTTCAAAAGATGAACGTTTGCATGAATTATTATATGGATATTAAATCATTATTCTAATGTAGAGAAACTAATATTATAATTAGACTGTAGATGTTTACATATTTTTAATACCTTCGGGTTGGCAAAATATAGCAAATGAATGAATTTAACATAGTTTAACGTTTCATTAAAAAATAATATTTTCTTTATATATTATTATAAACATAATAAAATCGATGCACAAAATAAAAATCATCACAATTTCTTTTTTAAACTAGTATTTAATGTTGTGCATTTACATAAACATCTACAATTTAATTATAATTATTAATTTTGTACTTTAAGAATACATTTTAGAGAAATCAAAAATTATTTGTCGTGCTTATGAATAGAAACTACAAACACAAATATATGTTATTTTGTAAAAGATGTATAATATACATGCTTGAATTGAAAGCTAGTCTTATATTCTCAATCACAGCCACTGAATAGCAACATAAAGAACTGTAATACTTTCCAACTTTTAGCACGTCTTTTAAAATTTTTTCAAAATTTTGTTTATCATAACTGATCTGCGAATTTATATTTACAACATATTTAAATATGCAAAGAGATAATAAAATATAAAAAAATCTTCCATACTACTGTAAAGAGTTTGAAATCTTTAGAATAAGTTCTAGAATTTCTAAGTTTCTAAAAAGTTTTTATTTGACTGATCTTTGAAAATTTTTCATAATTATATACTAAAAAGATCCTTATTTGCATGAGCATATATTATTTTAGAAAATTTTTGTTAATAATGATGCAATGTAAAATGTTACATAATTGAAAATTAATTGAAATATTAATTTAAAAAATAGTTTTTAAAGTTTTATTCTATATAGAATAATATAGCATGTTAGATTTTTACTTTTTTGAAGAACTAATTTTCTAAAACTAATAATTAGTAAACAAACAATTATTTCCGTATTCAAATTCTAAGTAATTTATCTCGAATCATTTGTTAAACATTACGTTCAATTGTTTACTTAATTCTTAAAATTGGCATAAATAAAATTTATGTTAGAAATTAAAGCATGTCCGTATGTATCATACTTTCTAATATCACCAAGGTAATAAATCAACTTATGATCAAAATAAATTTATTGTATACATAAATACAATGCCGAGATGACAAATTGACTTATAGAACAGCACAAGCATAAAAAAGATACTTTGCTCGCTTTCTTTAACTCCAGCTTTAACATTTTCATTGTGTAACCCTTTTTTTCATCATCAGCCCTTAATAGAATTTCGTCGTATAATTCTATCGGTAAATGTAACCATCTTGACTAATAATGAAAATAAATTTAATAGAAGGTAAGGTTATCAAATTTTAAATGGTAGTGGAACTAAAAACTGCAAGTCAATCAGACCCTGATTCTTTTTCCTTACCAACTTGTTATCTCTGCACTGTACAATATTCCTCTCGCAACCTTGCGTCTCCTTAGCCTTTCTTTATACAGCCTTCGTACGTAGCGTTACTCAGCATCTTACTGAACCTTCTGAGCTTCGTAAAGTTACGGGGGGAATATATTGTATGTATAAACGTATATGTAAACATTTTGCATTTTGCTGTTATATAAAAATTTTCCAATGGTCATTCCAACTTTTATATTAGATTTGAATGCATTCATTATAATGTATCAGATTAATTTCTTACTTAAAAATTTAATGATTAATTAAAAAAATTGTACATTTTGGAAAAGTATTAACAGAGATATGAAAACTGTTGAAGACAATTACACGTTAATGACTAGCAAACTAGACGTCAAGCAGTATTTCTAAACATGTATATCATCTTGGTTTATAATTTCTTCAGTGCAAAATGGTAAATTTAATATATTTCATATTTTTGTAATAATTTTAGCTTTTAATAGAACAATAGTAGGGCAAAAATAAAATTTTCCTTAATACAAAATGAACAAATTGTCCATATTTTTATACTTAATCAAATAGATGATTTTTGAGGGATAAAACTGATGTACAATAGTTACTCTACATACAAACTTCATTCAAATTATTGTACTGTGCAATCCTACATGTAATATTTACAAAAATATGCCTCCTGCGAGTGCTATCTATAGCAGCATTCTTTCATTTTAATTTAAGCCAAAAGTGTACAGTTTTTTGCATGTCACGGACTTGCACTGATTTGTTGTGTGTAGAACTTACATAAAAATCCAGATCTTAACTTTAGTCAGGTTTGTATATGGGTATTTTTGGAATAAATTCAATTAAGAGAACCTGTAATATGAAAAGAGAAAACAAATAAGTGAGTTACTTATATATAAACAAGTTCTTGCACAATTGCGAAGAACCTGTTCTTCTTATAAGAATGTTATATATGATAAAACTGATCATAGACAATTAACATTAACACATTCGCAACCATTGACATGAATTTACATTTTTAAAAATATTTTCTTTCAAAATAATTTATTCTTTTACTTTTTTCAAATTTTGAATTCTTGTCCCTGTTTTAATGTCAGAAATTTTTGACTATTACTTTAAGATTTTCTTTATTTTCAATGGCAATGAATATTAGAAAAGTAAAAAGTTTGCCAGTTGCAAGTGTGTTAAAAATTATATATTAAAATAATATGTAGTAACTCATATAAATAAATAGGATATTTTAATGTTGATTTGTTTTTACATTTACTTACATATTCCATCATAGATGAAGTATCGCATCTTTGTTTCGCCAACCTCCAATGTAATCCAAGTTTATGATATAGCCTACTGTTTTCCCATTCTAATAATTTGTTTAACGAAAGTTGCGTCTAATAAAAATGTAAAAATTTAAGCACACATTACTACCATTATAATTTTTTATTTCGAATTTAATAAAATGTTTTTAAAAAATAAATCTAAAAAAGATATGAAGAAATTTATCACTGAATAAATATGCTACTTTATTAAAATAATGTAATTTGTACTTTAATTAAATACTTACTCTTTTACTTAAACAGATGACAGGCCAAAGAGAACAACCTAACGTACAACAACAGCAGACACAGCCACAAAACAACCACTTAACGTTAACTGGTAAAGTCTTTTTCAACACACTGTTTATTCTCATAACAGTTGCTTTAAATTCTTCCGGAGCAACACGCGACACTAATTCATTTGGAAATCCTGATTCAAAACAATTGCTAAGACCAAATCTGAAAAGTAATTCTATGTGTAACATATTACATTGAATAAGTTTTTCTTTTTTCAGCAGAAATAAACAATAATACAATAGGAGTAATATTTAATTTGTGTATTTAAATAATATTATTACAATAATAATTTTTTTTCTCGTTTGTTCTTTGAATTACTAATATTTAAAAACATTTTTAAAAGCTACATTACAATTATTATTTTCTTTCTGTAATTTGACATCTTCCAAAGTATATGATTTCAGTTCTAAGGACAAAGTGCAAAAGAAAAGAAAAAGAAGATGGTATCTCGTGTAAAAATAGTTTTCATTCCCTTGTTCATTGAATAAGATTTCGAAATACACATATAACAATTTAGAAGACAATAAAATTTTACTTACACAGTCATATTTCCAGCTCCTCGAATAACTATAGGGTCTGGAACCATTGTCACGTAATGTTCTTCCAAATTTTGTTCATTCTCTTCCTCTTCCTCATAGATCGCGTCGAAATCTGCCATTGTACGATATTCGACGGTTCCCGCTCTATGAACACGATTATATCGTTGTAAAGAAACAATATTTCTCCTACTAAAAAGCAGGCCCTCTTTTCATTTATATTTTGCACAAAATTGTAGCGCGTGTGTGTTCACTCTTAAGTATTACGCATAAACATTTTCGCGGCCACAAATTATAGGCCAGACATAAACTTTTGGTTCAAAGTGGTTTGTAACGACACCATTCACAACACAACACACGATGCGCACTGCAGATGCTCACAGCTCATCAATTTTTCATTCAGTGCGATTTCAGGTTAGCCAACATTTTAGATGTTTACATACAAACAAGTTGAAGACAGACCTTTTTAAATTATTTACTGTACATTTTTAAAACTTCGAATTTTTTAATTTTATTTTATGATTAATATGATTTCGTACCATTTTTGTAATATTACATATAATTATAATGTTGTTACAGTGAACATTATAGTAATCGTTTATTTTTAGGTAGAATATTGTAAAGTATGTTATTTA